CAAGTAGCTTCTGAAGGTTTATAGTTGAAGTGCTCTTTGAAGACATGACAAAAGACTGTTATTTAACAATCCTGAGTGAAGGGTAAGTTTTCCAGACTCATACACCAATGCTCAACCAGCCTTCATAACCAAAAATCTCTCTGAAGACTAACAATTCAGAAAGAAATGCAGAGGTAAACACAACAGCTTACACAAATTTGTTATTTCATTTCTCCTGAAGTGCTTTACACATTGTTAAATAAACAATTAAGAGATAAGCACATCAGAAAAGTTATGTTGAAAATAAGTGCCATTTTATGCCATTCCAAGTTTGTTCTTTCCACTTGACACTGAGACTTTTCCCAGACATGTTCAGAAAGCAAGATGACTTAATGTTGTGCTTTTTTGTGGTTTAGAAACAAATTTTAGTTTTTTTTAGGATTTCTGGAAAGATACGTATTGCATGGCTTCCAAAGTGACAGCAGGTTTCACAGTTTTATTGTTTCAGAGGAACAATACATTTTATGTCTCAATATTGGGAATTCAGACTTTTAACTCAGTTAAAAGAGATTTTTGCTCTTCTGACAACTTAAGATTTATACCAAGATATGCTGGTTTGCTTGGAAGGACAGAAGAAAAATGCCCTTATGTTCTGGTACCTATACAGTATTTAGTATACACATTGTGAATAGGCACAAACACTGAAGGACAGAACAGAGAGCTGTGGAGTTCAGAGAATGCTGTCCACAAGGTAATAAATTAAAAGCTCAGAATTCTACAATACCCTTTCCATGTACACACATTTGAGAAGACATTTCATACTATCTTTAGTAAATGCTGGAATGAGGATAAACGAAACCACTTTCCCATTTTCCTGTGTCCTATTCAAAAGTCATAGGTAGACCTGTCCTGTTCTTTAAAGGTGCTAATTTATTGTAATCTAAAATGTAAAAAAATATCCATTACATGTCTAGAAACCCTTTTTTACAGCAGACTCAGATACATACCTTGTGCTGATAATTGATAACGATTTAAGTGCATTTGTTAGCCAGGAGTCTGTCAGAGCTTCAATCTCTGCTCTTAATTGCAACCATGCATCTCTTTTAGCGGGACCCAGGAGTCCTTATATGTAAGAAAAGTGAGAAAAATAGAATTAAATTCTGTATCAGATAGAGTTTATGGTCATTGTTTCTATTTTAAATTTCACTACAACTTGAAAAAAATATCAAAGAGAAAATCTATTATCTTCAACAATCAGTAAATCCCAGGTTTTATTTGTTCTTCACTGTATCAAGGAATGTCAGATAGTATTTCAGATAATAATAATAATAATTTGAATTTCTTTATATATCAGGCTGTATTTCAAAATATTCCTTTCAGAACCATGTATTTTTTAAACCAGCTCCTCCCACATACATTATTCTCAAATTATCAGTGGCAGTGACAAGGAGATCCATGTCATTGGGATCAGAGGTGAAGATGGTCACAAAAGAAGATACTGTAGAATAAACTGGCCTCTGCAGTACCTGCTTATGCTTAAAACTGCCCTACTTATGACTCTGCATATAGTGTATATAACCTCAGGTTATACATACAGAAATGTATTTGCTTGCTGATGGCTTGCTCTTCATGTCCTGTCATAGTTGGTTCCTTTTACAGAATTTACAGCCTGAAATGGCTGCACATCTTATGTTCTCATATCTTAGTTAGTCCTTAAAAGTTAGTCCTCAAAATCTCTTTCTGGGTATAAATTATTAGACATTTAAAATACCCAGCCTATTGAACGCTGAGACATGAATTTGTTGGAATCAAGGTATTATAAATGTAGACTTGGTCATGGAAGAGAAGGGAAGGAAATAGGCTTCCTGACCTTTAGTATCCCTCTTCTCTTTCACACCCTATGCTGCCAACAATGACGATGACTGTCTTCAAAAACTCGAAGTAACCTATACATATACATGGATTAATCTTGCCTTCTGATACTTTCTAGCAGCTCTTTAGAAATAAACAGATACATAATGAGCTAAGAAGATTATTAAAAAGGCTAAGATGTGGAGGACAAATGAATAAACCTTTCCATTAAGGATGGCTTATTTTTCAGATGCAGGATATATGGGAGACAATAAAAACCTTAATCCAGTGCACCATATATCTTCACTCTTTTTTGCAATGTTTTCCTCCTCTCAGTGTGTTTCCCTCTGCTGTGCTCTTGGACATGTTCTCTTATAGTGTTAAAGGTTTTACGAAATGCAGCAGCTTTAGAATCTTAGATGCATTAGGAGATATCAGAAAAACCAGCGAACTTTTAGTTAACCCTGTTCCAAGAATTATTAATACATAAAAGCTCTATTGACAACACCAATGAAGGGCAAAGTAGGGCAAGTGAAAGTCAGCCCTCTACTACCACCCTTTGGTCCTATTGCTTCATCCTGTGGTAAGGAAAGACTGAACTACTAAGAGAGAAAATAGGTGACTGTAGCAATTATTGTAGACTGCTAAGTATTCCCTGTCCTCACAGTCTATTGTTGAGGGTGTCAGTTGACACATTCCCCTCCTCAGAAGAAGGCTGGCTGTCTCTGAAAGTCACATAGGACTCTCCAGAACAGATTCTTTTGGCTCTGCTGCTTGATTGCCTACAATCTGCTGGTGCAGATATAAGGGAGTCCATGAATTAAAACTGTAACAGCAAAATTCTTGTCCCAGATGAGATTTAGACTTATTGGAGAAAAAACTGTAAGCTACAGAGTCAACAAAAGTGGCTACTGGCATGGAAGTAACAGAATTTTCTTGCATCCACTGGTGAAAACAGACTAGCAGGTACCCAGCAGAAAGTTCAGGTGACAGTGTTGTTACTGACCAGATCATGAAAATGTAGGATGGAAATGGCCATCCAGAGAGAATTTGTGCTGTGAAATGATACAATATCTTTCCTGGAAAAACACCAGATCTGCGGGAGAATAAGTAGTTCAACAAATAAGTAAGGTAAGACTAGCTGGCTCTGAAGGAGGAGAATGGAATCTGTGGAAGCTAAATGGAAGCTTGCTTGGTTTTGCTCGCTGCATTTCCCTTGCACAATGGCATGTGCTTTGCCATTACAGTCAGTAGCTTTCAACAGCCCATGGTTCAGTCACATCACTCTCCATTCCCCCTGTGGCTTCCCAGGCTCCTTCCCTGAGTGGCAGCTCATCACCATGCAGCTTAGAGTGATCAGCATTCAAAGTCTTTGGCAATTGAACTCACCTCCGATGTTGTTCTTGTAAGTATTATACAACTCTTTTACTCTTCTGTAACGGAAAGCCAGCTTCCTCATCCAGTCAACCCCTCCTCTTACACCTGTTGGCAGACAAAGGTTTGCACTACTTGCAGCTGCATGGAAGCCATCAGTTGCAAAACTGTAGGTACTGCAAACACCCAAAATACAGTAAAAATAAATACAATGTATTCCTGTAAATGCTCAAATTATTTCATCTTAAAAAAAAAGAAAAAAGAAAATAAATTCTGTATCTTACCTTAGGTCTTGTCCATTATCATCAGAAGAAACATCATCTATATGAACTTGATCGCATTCCTGTTAGAAAGAAGAAAAATGACCCAAATGACAAATTTATCTTACAAGAGAGGGCAATCACCATTCCTGGAAGTGTCCAAAAGGCGTGTGGATGTGGCATTTGGGGATGCGGTTCATTGGCGAGCACGGCGGGCTGGGCTAGTGGTTGGACTGGGTGATGTTAGAGGTATTTTCCAACCCAAATGATTCTGTGCTCACCATAGCCTCAGTACAGACGAAAAAGTGACAGGTGCAGGCCACTGGCTGCACCAGAAGATGGCAGCCTGTGCACACCCACAGTTTCCTACTGCCATTAACATCTTAAAAATAGTGTAATCTTCAACTCCTACATAGTCTAAATCACTAGTTAAAACAGACCTTTAGAAAAGTAATATGCAGTTTTGGTGTGGTTTTTGGGGAGTAAAATTATTTTAATTGTAAAGCCACAAAAACTGCAAATCTCATTTACAGTCTCCCTAGTATACCAATACTTGAAAATCATATAAACCTTATTTTCTCACTCCCTAAAAGCAATTGATGGTGAACCTCAACAAAACTTACGTTAACTTAACATAACTTATGTTAAGACACCTATCAGGTTCTTCCATTAATTTATGTGAGTGCCTTTGGCTGGAAAATCACATATAATCAGGAATCCTACAGAACTTGATTATTTCCTGGCTCTGGAAGGGATGGAAGCAACTCGAGGGAACTGAGGTACATTGGAAAAATGAATTCCCCTCCAGGATGATTTTATAATTGGGCAGCTATCAAATATCCTTATCTACACAGTGGTTACAGCACAAAGATAAGAAACTGTGGTGAACACAAAAGTAAATATATAAGTCAAGGCATCATGCATCGTGTAATTGTTTTCTGTAGTTACTTGAACTAACATCTTAACCCAAAGACACATCTGAAATTCAGTGTCCATTTAAGACAGCACTTAATTCAAGATCTCTGTGACGTGCAGGGGTATGTTGCTCTAGGTTTCCAATCTTTGTCTCACAACAGTGGTAAATTGCACAGATAAAGGACAAATCTGAACAGAGGAGCAATTTCCAAATGTGTAAGCCACAAGTTTCTAGAGTGTGAATTTAGGGAATTATCATTTCATCTTTCTCCTTTGTTTGCTTTGCAGTGAACAAAAACTTAAGAGACTTTTACTTGCATGAACCAAGTTGTTAAAAAAAAGGGCAATTTTGTATAAAACAAATACATTTCATTTAATATTCAAATACATGATTTCATTGCATCACACAAGCAATCATAATTTAAAATATCAGGTCAAAGCAAAAAAGAAAAGAGTTGCCAAGCTCTGCTCATATGGCTTAATCTAGTAAGACAGGATAATAGAGCTGTGTTCAAGGAACAGGAATGAAGTATTCTTCCTCTCACTGGAGAAATAAAATTTTTTAGTTCTATTTGAGGAGATTATCTCTAGCTGTAGAGTATTTTAAAGAAGCTACTTTTGGATCTAAATAGCAGGTGAAGACAGAAAGTAAAGGGAATGTAGCAGCTGAAATAAAAGATTAGTTTCTTTATTCATCATTTACATGCCAGAAAAAGATACAACTATGCTTCACCCAGTGAAGCAGGAACTCAAAAATAAGACAAAAAGCCCTACTGGGGAGAATTCTGACTCTCTATTTTGCAATACCTGGGCAATATCTAGCTTCCTAATCATCTTCACAGATTTCCCTGGAACAGGTGGAAGTGTTAAATTAAAAAATTTGAAAACCATTCCTGTGGATATGAAGGTGTACTCATGAAATGAAGGGCATACAAAAGCCTTGATGGATATGGAATGTCTGCTGCTGTTTGGGTTTTGTTAAGCCTTTCAGCTACATTGCTCCAGCCTTCTAAGTTCTGCTGATAATTTCATTATTAAGTTAAACATGAGTGGGTGGCAAAGGCTCAGCCATTTAATTTTTTCTGTCACACAGTTCATTCACTGTGATTCTGTGACTGACTCCAGAAACAGGATGAGGGGACCATGCAGTTTTCTGATTACTCACCCCCTTGTCCCTGCAAGAAAGTTGTTAAACTAAACAGGAGATCAAACCCCAACAGCACTCTCCAACTTCCTCCTTTTCCCCTTTCTCTTCTCCTCTGGATCTATGGCTCCTCTCCTCTCTACATGCTGGCAATACATTTTCTGACCAAAAAACAAGCTCAGGTGCCCGTCACCCCTTGTCTTCTTTTACTTTGTTGTCTTGTTTACTCATCTACTTCAACTAAGACATTTACCTTTTACAAACTCACTTACATGGTGTGGAAAAAGCTTGCCATAAACAAAGCAGGGAGTTTGAGCAGATTTGACATAGTTCTCCACTTTTCTCAAAAGAAACAGGAAACTGCTGGCACAACACTGCATCTGAGTTTGCTTGTAAATGATGCCAAACAGTTATAGGAAAGAAGGAAAGAAAGCAAGCTCTCTGTCAATTTAAATATTAAGGTAAAGTACTTTTCACATCAGCTACAGTACTGGTTAAGCTCAAGTCACAGTGGCTGTCAGTGCAATGTCAAAACTAAGAAACATAAAAATACACTTCGTATTAGAGCAAACACAGGAAAGGAATCTAGGCATAATATCTAGCTTTTGCTTGAAGCAATGCTAATTTAAATTATATCTAAGTGCAGTCAATTCTTTGCAGCAATTTTTAGAGCTTGAAAATTTGAGAGTAAAGAATCAACACATCATCTGTAACACTTATCATCCTGGACTGGACAGTAATTTCATTATTCAGTAAAAACACTGACTTACCATGCTGAACACAAAACTATTATTAATGAATATGAATGCATATTCAGCACTATGCTTTCTTAGGCTATACAGAAAACCCCTGTTAATACATATGTCTCAGTCTCAGTTAAAACTAGTTTTACCTGCCTCCAAAATTCTGAGACTTAGCTAAATCCTTTTTTAAATTTATCATTTCTATTTCTAATGAGAAAAAAAGGGACAAAATCTCCTTTAAATATGGTAGGATAATGATAAAAATGGAAATGTAACTCAGTTTGTTTGAAATGAATACTCTTTTTTTTTTTTTCTTCATTGACCTGAGAGTGGAGTAGAATAATGGAGTTGGAAGATTCATGTCTGAATTACTATTTGCAATTTCCAGAAATTTTTATTGGTGTGCATAATAGGCCTTACCAACATTTCTAAATACTGTCTTAAAATTAATACTGAGATATGAAAAAAACCTCGATTTTATTCCTCACCTGGTTAAAAAAGGAATGCCTTAGTTTGGCTATTATTATAAATCTGAGTCCCATCTCTAAGCATTGTTTAGGCACGTGAAACTTCTGGAGCACCAGACTCCTATTTTCATGGCAAAACACCAACTGCCCTCCCAAGCAATACTTCTCAAGCTAACTAAAATTTATACCCTGAGAATGCAATAGCTGGAGAACAGCCTAGCCTGAAATAAAAGTGCAGCTTGGCTGATTAGAACATGGGTTACTGGGTCAGCGGGGAACGTCTCAGCAGATCGGAATTTCTGCATCAGCAGTCCTTGCAGTGAGACAGATTTGCATAGAGGAAGGAAAACTTTATTTTTGTATGCGATAACTTCAACAACTTGGTTATTATTCCTAGAACCCACTATGTGATGTTTGTAACCAAGAAAGACAGGGGAAAAAAAGGAAGTTTAGAGGATGTAGCGACTGGAGTACATATAACAGGAATACTGGTTCAGGAGTACTTAACAGCTGTCTTGTCCAGAGCCACGAGGTTTACTGTGGGCTGAAGATGAAAGCAAGTCAGAAGGACTTGTGGGATCACCACCAAAAAAGTGACATGATGAGCAGATAAGCAATCTACCTGCCTAGAGAATAAAGGCCTGTCTCACTCCCTCCAGTGAGAACTGAAGGTCTGCTGTCTTGATGGCCATGCTCATCAGCAGCCCAGCACTCATTTCTGCTCCTCTGGGGGAGGACAGAGAGAGGAGGACAGAGAGAGATGGGGAGAGGAGGGGAGGTCCCAAGTCAGACTCTGGGAATTCTCAGAATTCATTACACATTCATCATGCAGATGCAGTGTAATATTCAGTAACGGCCATGTTTCTCTGCAAACAGATTTAAACAGACAGGTTTATTCATCAGCATGTTAAAGGACGTCTCTACATACCTGGGCACTTTATCCTACTTGCTAAGAAGATAGAAAATTGCTGGTCTCCTCACACATACTGAAATGTATGCATGTAACTCATTTCAGCACATGAACTTTGGAATTTTGGTAATTTTGCACGAGAGTTTTGAGACTAAGATGAATTCTGGGCCATAAAATACTAAATTTCTTGTAGAAATTGTGGTTATTAAACACATATATAAATTTCTTTTAATCAAATCAAACTGATTGATTTATGAGACTCTCTAAGACTGCTCCCAAGTAGTATTTTTTGATTTATCTAAAACTGGGAACTGTTCAAGCTCTGGAATGAGCTGGCATGTCAGTTTTTGGACAGTGTATTAAAACCATCCTATGAAGATTAGCCAAAATATAATGATCCACCTATGACAGCTGAACTTGTGGTCTACAGACAAAACAAATAATGAAAGGAAAGTTTTGTGGCCATAAGCAAGAATAAAGAGGCATGGAAAGAGGGCAAAGCTCCATTTTGCTGAACTCTTCCACCTGAACTCAGCACAACATTGAAGAGCAGATTCTACAGAATGTCTTAAATTTTATTCATGCCACATAAAATCTGAACATGCAGGGAGCAAAGGTCTGCTAAAAAAAATAAATTAAGAAATGCTTTGAAAAATTTATTTGGAATCTCTCCCTGGTACAGGACACCAGGAGACATTCACTGAATTTACTTGCATTGTCAAGAGATGCCTCACTAGGACTGCAATAAAGCAAACACTGGGAAAGGCATGTCCAGGGCTTTACCTTCTTAAGTTTCTGCTGCTGCAAGGACGAAGTGCAGTTCAGGTGTGGGGTTAAGTAGATTCCAGTTTCTTGATTTAAAAAGAGCTAAGAATAAATGAGTTCTGCAAGGGATGACTAAGACAACCACAGACTGGTATCTTCTGCTTTTCTTACTGAAAGAACTACTTCATGAAGGAACAAAAGACAAAATCAACATCCCAGTGGATAGAAAAAATTTCACTTATCTTTATTTTGTCTCTTCACTCACCAGAGACCTTTCTCTGGGATTCTAAACAAAACCTCAGAGTTCTCCAGCTCCCATTCATGGCAAGCATCTGTCCATGGAGGGAAGTTTTGTATCTACTCTGAGTAAGAAAACAACCATTAGACCAGCAGAAGGTCTGAAAAGCCCCTAGGTTAATTTCAAAACTGTTTTTCTACCCCATGTCTCGACACACACGGTTGTAGGCTGCCACTGTCCATGTTAACAGATTCAGACTCTAAGAGTGAAATAAAAAGCCTGTGAAGCCCAGCTGACAAGCTTGCTTTCCAGACCACTGTCCCTGTGAGAGTCCATCCATTCTGACAGGTGAGCTGCCCACAGAGGGCACTTCCTAGAAAGAGGTCTCTCTCTTTTCTGACCAATTGCCAAATTATATTCCCTGGGTATATTGTGACAGCACATTGCCTGCCTGGTTACCTTGGGAAGAGACATCACTGATCAGGACACCTATCACAGTCCCAGCTCTCTGGTGTTGCATTCCTTGAGGTAAATGAAGAATATTCTACATTTGAACGAGTAATAGGGGCCTGTAGCCAAAAGGCTGCTCAGGTATATCAAGAGAAGAACAGCCCCTTCTGGTCAGATGAGGGCACTCACTGAAAGCAAATGAATATAGAGAACTTCAAGGGAAGAATACAAGGCATGTATGTTATCACCCTGGAGATGACAGCACACAGCTTTACACACATGGAAACCAAAAAAGATGGCTACAGGACAAAGAAAGGAATGAGTAGTTTACAGATTCTCTCTCTCACTGAGTTTCACAGAGGACTCTGGTGCTGCTGGAAGTCAATGCCACCTGGCTAACCTCTCTCTGCTTAGAGTATGACAAACCCAAAGACCACACAGGCAGAAATGTCACACAAAATAAACACTAATGCACAACAAAGCCACTAAGTTAAAAATCAGGAATACCAGTGCTAGCATTCCTTTGACTCTTACCTCTAAATCATTAAAAAATAAATGTGTGTCAGCAAGATTAAAAATCATTTCTTCCATTCGCAGTCCAAGGGTCACTGCCATGGGTGGATCCTTAAAAAAAACAAAAAACAAGGTTAGCTAATTACATATCTCTAACTTGTATTAGAATTACTTTAAAAATTGATGTATACAAAGTGTTTTGAAAAATCAACACTGTACGGAATTTCTCTGAAATCCAGTATTAAGCTATTTTAATAAAATTCTATAAGAAGACACTGCTGAACCTCTGTTTGTGAAAAAATTCTGACAGCTGTGGATGTTGAAAAATCATTTTTTTTTTTAAAGCTGAGCAATTTGCAACCTGGCTGAACTAACAAGAAGAAACCCAGTGGCTGTAAACATATACATAAATATAAACATAAACAATTATAAAGAAGACTGAAAATAGGGACAGCACTTTTCATAAAAGATGTATGCAGGAACATACACTCCTGTGGAAAGCAGGTATAAGTTTGTTGTTTGCTACAGATCATCCCTTCATTGCTGATGAAACACAGGAATCCTGTCCCTGGATAAGATGAATTCAAAATGTTGCATTTGTTTGTGGGTTGTCTTTCACATTATCAAATTGCTCTGCCTCAGCAAGACCCCTAATAATAATAATAACCCCAGTGTTATTGCAGATTGCACAAACCTAGCAATCTGCAATAACACTGTCTGAGATCATTAAGCTAAGGTAAGATAATTAATTTAACTTTTCTAGGTCTGCTAGGAGACAGGTAAAGCAGATTTGTGTTTCCTTACATTTGGTTTAGAGTAACGGTCCCTTGATGCTTTGCCTTCTCATCAAAAAACATGAAAAAAAATTTTAAAAATTGATAATTTAAACTCTGATTGACAAGAGCAAGTTTTCAGAAATCCTTTCTTAAATACCTTGAGATTTAAAGTCTAAATATTTACCAGCATGTAGCAACAAAATTTCACAAAACCTCAAATGACCATTTGTTTGCATTAGGATGAAAGGCTTCCCAACAGGATCAGACACTCACTACTCCAGGGCTTTGCAATGACAGAATAAAAGATGGATTTTGCATTCAAGCACTTAATAACTAATGGCAAAATCTGAAACACTGACATACTTTGACTATTGCTCATGAAAAAGTTATACTGGAAGGGGAGAATGTTATTCAAGAAGTTGCGATGATCCAGAGTTAGAGCTAATTCTCTGGCAGTGAAAGAAATCATGTTTATGTTGACCCTTGAACTGGCCTAGACTACCTTTCAGATTCAAAAAACAAATGCAGTGCCCATGAACAGGATTTTATCCATTCTGTCCTCTGCAGTATGTTCACTGGATTTGAAAGTCACAGGGCTGGAGGCAGCAAAGGTCAGATTTCCAAGAGGATGATTAAGGAACACCACTGACAAATTAGAAAAACTCACGTTAGGCACCGAGAACACGAATCACCAAAATACCCTGGACTCATGAGATTCCTCATCAAGCCATAATGCTTTTATCAAAACGTCATCACATATAAACACGTGTTTGTATCTTTCACTTGCGTTTCTTTTCTGTGTATTGTAAACTATAAACCTCTTCTCCCTAGATACAGTATAACAGAGAGTATTTGCAATATGTTTTTTTACCTCAGTTCTATGAACACAAAGGCATGTACATAATCTTATGCACAAGTGGTAACTCATTATTATTTATATAAGTTATTTGCTGGAGTGCTTCCAAAACTGGAATCTCAGACTTAATTCTCAGCCTCTCTTTTACCCCTTTCTAGGCAGAAGCAGACTTGAACACAGAAATTAATTCAATTTGTTTTTACAGAAACTACCAACTATGTATGACAATTTCCTGCCTTAGTATAGTTGAAAGATGTAAATATGACAAAGCTCTTACGATTTTCTTATTAATAGTAGTTTTGTAACCAATTATGCCTGATTATTACTATTAAAATTGTATTTCCTACATTCCTGTTTTGACAAAGGCATGAGAAGGCTATTGCTAGGCACAGTACACAAAATAAAATAAAGCAAAGCAAAGGGAATTAATTTCAGTGTAGCATAAAATCACTATGGGATCTCCCTGTAACAACTTCTGCTAGGGAGAATTGCTGGAATTGAATTCTCAAGATATGAATAATTCTTCTCTTAACAAATTGGTCAAAACTTTGCACTGCAACTGTTTAACAAGAATTAAATATCATGTTCCATCCAGCTCTTGCCAAGTTCTTTCCTTCACATACAAAAATAGACAAGAAAGCAGATTTGTAAGGGTCGTGTCTTGTGGTTTTCTAGTGTTTGCACAATATGGAGGAACATGACAATCACCATTTTACTGTCTTGGAAAGCCTTGTTTCTAGCCTGAAACAGAAGTTACAGACTGATTCAAGTGGCACAAATGACTGAGTATTGAAAAGAAAGCAAGAAACTTACACTTGATACAGATCTTAGCACAGCAAATTGAAAAACTTAGTAAGAGGCAGACTGAACTTCTGGCAAAATTGTATTTTGTGCTACTCTGCACAAGCACACACAACAGAGGGGAAAAATGATTTAAAAAAAATCTGGAAGCTTTCCCCAGATAATTCACAGAACAAAGAACAACTCTTTGGCCTGCAGAGGTATGATGTTAGCCAGATATCATTAGTATGCAGAAGAATCAAGACCAGCTACAACACTTCTGTACACCTAAATACAAATTACTTCAGTTATGTTAGGATGAAGGCACTAAACTGGAGCCAGACTGCCTGTCTGTGGACTTCTGTACCAGACTGGTCCATCCATTGGAATGCCTTCTGGGAGACTAGATAAAAATATCCTGGGAGGACCAATACTTAAATGTTTTGATCAAGAGGAGAGTAACTGGAATAAAGCCCGAAAAGCTGAGTGTCCATTAGTGGAAGAAATCTATTTAATACTGTCTTGGAATGTCAGGTTTCAGCACATGTTCAAAATAATTTCATTTCTTGGGAAAAAAACTGCAAACTCCAAACTGACTTTAATAAAACCTTGCAAAACAAAGAGATAAATAGACTGACAGGTAGATTCATTGTGAAAGGAATTTGCATGCATGAAGCCCTAAAAATAAGAGAGAAAACAAGCAAAGTTTTAAGAAGCGATTTTCAACAGGTGGCTGTCCTGAACAGATTTAAATCAAAACTGACTTGGGAAAAAGTGGAAATGCTCAAGTTGAGTACCAGTATTTTAGCTTAAAGAGACTTCTCTATATTTTGTAGAAATCTCAGATTTAAGTTCAGCCCTCACTCTCACTTGTCCCAGGAGAAATTCATATGGGTGGCAATGGAGGAAGAGAACACATCTCTTCTTAATAACCATAGCTGGTGGCTGATGAAGGAAAACTCACGTACTCCATAGGGAGTTTCTGTTCCACGCTCTCTAGAAGGCAGTAGGAAAATCAACTCAGAGGTCTCAGACAAGGAGGGAGTGAATGGAGAGGACAACTGGAGGTGATGAGAGATACACTATTAATACAGGTGGACAAGAGAATATTTATGAGTGAATTTGGGAATGTCATCATGGCTGTTAATGGTGACAAAGGTTTTCTATTTAATGACCAGATAAGCAGACAGTGAGCAGTAAAAAGCTTCTGAGCCATTTCCAGAGAAGAGCACAAGGTTAATGAGGCTTCCCTGACAATCTTCTGTCATTTGCAATGTTAAAAAATGGCAAAATATGATCATCAAATGTGGATTTCTTTTGATATTTGCACTTGGAAATCACATTCTCCGTCTTCCAAGCTCGCAAAGGAACTCTATTCTTTTTTTTTAAATGGTTGCACTTTGAGTCACAGCATTTATCTGGGAATCCTTGCCCTCTGGATTGACCTGGGAGAAATGAATGAAATATAAGCGCTTGGAGCTAGACAAAAGTCCAGTTTAATCATCCTTCAAACAGCAAGTATAACTGGAATGCAATGGAACAAAGAATACACACTGTTCACAGGGACTAAGAGTGTACCTCATAAACTTTTAAGAGATGATGACATCTCCTAACACATGTCCTGTCACATCAACAAATGCTCACTTAAGAGCTCAGCATTGTAGAAAACCGTATCTGTCAACTGGTGCTCAGCTGCAAAAACCATCATCATCCACACAAGTCATAATATAACAGCTCCAATGCCAATGTTGACAATTTGCTACCGCAGTAAATAATTAAAAATAGAAGTGTACTGGTTTCATGAAGTACAATGCAGATGATCAAATGAGCTGAAAAGTGAGAGGTGATCTTACTGGAAGGCTGCACAGTTTCCCTGAAACCTAACACAGGTGTACTGTAGTTTTTATTCTCTTTCTATGTTAGCCCAGTAGAATAACCAATATGCCAGAGAGAAACAGCCATGGGTAGAAAGCAGCATGGAATGTTCTTCTGGGAAAGCTTTATGTTCTAAATGTAGAAGTGAAACTCTGGCCAAATTCTGGCCAAATCTCTCCCAGTTCAATTTGGTTTAAAGATATACTCTGTTTGGACCCAGATAAGCAGAAGCAATTTTCCCCATTTTTAAATGAGATACTTAGAGCTGTATCCTTCAGCAAATCAATAATTCTGTTTTAACATGGCTATTACAAAATTTTGACATCAAATAATTATCCTAGAAAATTTTGACATGAAATAATTAGCATACCACGTGAAGTGCTGAACAAGTATATACCAAGGAGAGTGTCTATTCTCAGCTTCATAAATCCTTAGGCATAAATCAGAAATCTGCTCTTCTCTCGACAAATACACAACCTGAAACTTGACTAGTGGATCCAGACCTTCCAAATATCTCTGCCAATGAAAGCCTCCTTGCCTAAGGAGATGCTGGTTTGACTTTCCTTTTTCTCTTCTACTTCAACCACTTGTGAAACTGTAGAAATCTTTTGAAAGTGTTTATTTCTGGATACAACTGCAGCTCTCAAGTGCTCCTGCACTCACATGTGGATCCCTATGCCAGGCCATAATATTCTGCACCTCCTCTCACTGCATCCCTGTGCAGCCTGAACTGCAGCAGAACAGAAGGATTAGAAGATTGATTTCTGGGTTTTTTTAGCTGCGTACTCAAAGAAACAGGAAAAAGCTGGAGAAAACAAAGAATGAAAGTATTCATATCCACAAGTACATGGGAAAGAACTGAATGTTACTTGCCTGTTTGTATATTCCCACTAGCTCTAAATTCAGCATCTCACTCCTTCTAAGTATAAAGTGAGAACACTTGGTATGAGAAATTGCCTTCCCTTAAAGCAATTTTTGCTTTGAAGACACACTATTCTCATGTAGAAAATTAAAAATGAAAGGGAAAATTCTGCTTGTCCTGCAGGGTTTGTTTGGGTTTTTTTTTGGTTTTATTTTTATGGTTTCTTTTCTGTGATTTTTCTTGATTATATTATACAAAATGGGCTCATGAAATATATGTGGAAGAACTAGGTACTCACAGCTGAGCATCTGTGTGACATTAGGTGCTTTTGCTTTCTAAAATTAGACAGCAAATCACCACAGTTAAATAATTTACTATCTCCACTATATTTAGTTTCTTTTTTCATTGTTAGGCAACTATTTTATACCACCTTTCCAAGACAAACAGCTCAGTAATTTTGAAAGACATATGCACTAACAAGACTTCTGTTGACAACCTCACAATTCTTGAAGCATTTACTCTCATAGCAACTCAATTCTCATAACAATCCAATCTTCAGTCTGGATTAAGACCATGTACAAAGGAAATCATATGCAGAAAAGATAGGGACCATATGTGCCAAACATGTCATGTATCAGAGACTGAGTGAAGTCTATCTGTGGGAGTCTTCATTTCTCCCATTTCTAACCTCTTCGGCACTTATGCTGAGACATATCCCACCTTAAATTTAGGCAACACTACAATGACATGCAAAAGTTAAAGTCTACCCATTATAAGCTCTTCCTGTATTCCCTGCTCTAGCTTCCTTGCAGTCAACAATATTTATATTTGACTTTCACTGGTAATAACTCATCACACATGTTCTAGGTAAATGTGGCAATGACAGTCACTGCAGGAAGAAAAAGTCTACTACTTTTATTTTACAGGGTCTGGAGATGAATACCTTTCTCTACGTGTGTGGACAGAGAGAAAATACAAAAGAAAAAAGATGGTTTTACTTAAGAACTTTGTAATTCCTTTCACTGAAGCACTTTTTGCTTCATTGTCATCCATGTTATTTGTTTACTGTCTCAGCAGTATAACTACATTAATTTCACCAACCCTTGAGACACTTTTAGCTTATATAAGACTTTATCTGCTGTCAGTACTACTGTCTGTTAATATGCAATTACTAATTTACCAAGAGAAATTACATTTCTGTTACTGTTTCCAAGACAGTTTTCAAAGTTATCCACAGATATTTTTTGAGTTACAAAATGTGATCTGACTTTTAAACTATGTGTTACAGTTGATTTAGAAAACATCCAAAGGGCACAATCAAAAAACAATGAAAGGAATAACTTTATCACTGTGACAATTCAGCAAGTCCTGTGGTAGTCTATAGGCTACTCTCAGAGTGATACAAAAGTTATGTTTCTTTCTTGTTTTGATAACTATTAGCTGGAAATGGTTCTGACAAAGTCACAATTGTTACAATGTCTGAAAAACAGCAGAAGAGGATTTCTTGACAGAGTACTGAAAAGTGCACACATCTGGCACTGTGAAGCTGCAAAGCAAGGAAGGCTGTTTTTTACAAGAGTACCTATCCTTATCTTAGCATTCCAGAAATTCAGATTTTGCACTTGGCTTGTGACTTTTCCTATTACCTTTCTTTTTTAATAACACAGAAGGTTGATTGCATGAAAGACTGGCTCATCTCTAGTTATATTCCACAGGCTCTGGCTTTGGACTTTTCTAACCCAGTGGTAGAGGAGGAGATTGTGAAAAGCATTTCTATAATATACTGTTTCTCACATCCTTTTTTCAAGCATCTGATTCTGGCTGGGATAAAGATGCTGAAAACATGCTAAACAAGCCCCTTATCTGAGACAATATGGTTATGTTCTTAAAAAGAAGCACCTTTGCATTAATTTCACTTGAATAGCACAGCACAGAGAAAACTATGTATGTATGTATGTAACAACATCTCCTTTATCCATTTTCCTTCTTCCTTGTTTTGATTTTTTGTTTTATCCAGGCCTTTACCTCTCCCATTGGTCTGCTCCTGTTGCTCCACACCAGACCCCTCTCACCTTGTCCAAGCAGCCATTCCCTGGACTGCCAGCACCAGCCCTAGAGCTCCTGCTCCTGCAGTCTGCCACTGCCTCCCTCACTCTTCTTCCTGCTCTCCCACTCACTGCTCTGTGACCTGAACTCCTTTTGGACTCATTGGAGGAGAGAGGATGCTTAAAACCACCAGGGAGAGGGTTTCACTCTCGATATTACTCACCCCAGAGCCAGCCAAGGGAACCAAAAATTCAGTGAAGAGGGTGGGGAGTCAAAGAACAACATCTGCATCTGGCATTGAAATAAGTCAGACTCTTACCCATCCTATTCATAAATTTCCTGGTAAATTCACCCACTAGCCCAGTTTGTTCTTTCTTTCTCTGCTCTTCCAGATATTGTCAGTTATTTCCACTTCTGCACTTCATCTATTGTCTCCCTGCAATGTCTCTTCCAACGCACATCAGGAACCTCATTCTTGTTCCTCTATAAATTCTCCTCTCATTTGCAGCATTTGCTTCAGCCCTGCCTCCTGCATTGTACTTAGGGTCTGTGTCTCATTTCTCTCCTTGACTTCTTCACCATGAAATCCTCTGAAAATGGGGTTTACTGTACACTTTAACTTCACCCATAAAAGCTATAAAGAACACAAAGGTGAAAAACACACTCACAGTCAGGCCAGATAGGTGCAGTGAATTAACACAAAATTCACAGCTCACATACCTTGCCATACTTCTGTGCATACGATCCTGTAAGCAGCGAATGAAAAACTATGATTGTTTCATCCAAATCCCAAACAAATACACGCTGAAAAAGGAATTGAGGAAAATATTATTGAACAAATAACATCACAGTCCCACCACCCCACCACACCCAGGGAGGCTAAAAGTCAACTGAGTCTTAAAAGTTTAACCAAGTACTTATTAAATGAGCAGATTTTCTCTGAAAATCAGCAATAGTAGTGTATCATGCATGGTAAAAAGCCAAAAAAGCAATAAAAAAAGGTAAAAAGTAACTTTTTAACTCTTCAACTATTTCTTACTTGTTCTATAGAAAGCTTTTCACAAAAGCTCTGTAATACAGATTACAGAATGTAATGGGTCAAACAATTGCAATGGATAAACAGTACTTTCAGATACTTCTCTGCAAGCCTTAGTGATTCAAGATTCTTTTTATTTCCACAGTTTAATTAAAATCTTGGGTAAAAGTGCTCTATGCCACTGCCATGTAGAATTTAAATAATACTGTAGGATAAAATCAATTCTTTAAACTCAGTTTCATTCATTCAATTTCACTCATTTTGATTATCACTGGTTAAAATAATAAATAAAAAAAACCCAAGGAAACAAAAGAAACCCTGAAATGTAAGAAGTTAGTTTCTTCACTGGAAAAATTAAATCCTTTGAAGAGAAAAAAAGTAAAAAAAAAAAAAGTATGTTTCTGTATAAAAGCAGTGACATTTACAATAATTTCTTAGCCCTGCAGAACACCCTGTTACCCCAGGAGAGGCCATGTGGTCAGCCAAGTCCCAGCACCAATTTTGTGTTCTGCTGTAGCCAGGGCTGGTCAGTGAAGGCAGGGCAGTGGGGCAGGCCAGGGCTGCTGGCTCTCTGCACTGCTCTGGTGGCAGCAGGGGACACACAGCATGGGCAGGCAGCACAGCTGGTGCCACAGCTGGAGTGTGACACACACAGGCACTCTGCTTCCTCCTGCTGCTCCTGCCACTGCAAGGCACCGCATGGCCAACACGACTCTGCTGCCAAAAGTCACCTCTGATTGAAACTGTCATCCCATAGATCAGGCAGATGTGTTCCTTTGCTAAGGCACTGATCTTGCACATACTTAACCACAGCCACACTTCACTGAGTTAAGCTGCCTCTTTTGAGATCCGCTGATGTAGCACAAACTGGCACCTAAATATTTAAAAGGCTATGGCCAGATGATCCTGCATATTCATGTTGCATCCATAAATAAATGTAATTAAGCTGAGTGATATATTTGAGATTTCCTACTTCAAAAACTAAAAGAAAACATCACACTTTTGAGTGCAGATTTGTGGTTCTATTGCACGAGATAGACACGTAATGCAGAACAATAAAGTGTCATTGTGCATTTGGATTAAAACAGCTACTGCTCTCTATTACATTCAGATAGTGAGACTGAGCCCATGATGTCTTCTAAAATGCTTTAAGCTATTTTCACAGCTGCAGTATTCAGAATTTACACTTCATCAGAGAAAACCTCCACATTAACATTCATCAATTACCACAGACATACCTCCAAGTCACTGTCCGGAGGGGGTGATGGATTATTCTTCCGCCCTCTACCCCGAGACTTTGACCCAGAACTCCTACATGTTCTCTCATCAAGATCTTTGATTGGCGTGGAGGGGCTCTGCACTGTGTCAAACTCCCCTGTAGAGTCAACCATTCATGTAAAAATTAGTGGTGGACTTTTAAATAATTAACTTCTTTTTCCTCAAAGTTCAACACGTCTGTATGTATGTCTCCATGACAGGAGACATGTAAAAATGTTGTATAAAAAGAATGTGGTTTGTCTTATGTAGATGGAATCAGTAGATGTCACACACACTTCTGACTTTACCAATGAGACACTATAAACCTTAGCAGAATAAGAAAAAATTAAAATGACACATATACATGTGCATATGCACAAATACACACCAGCCCAGGCAAAATATCAATATAGGCAAGAAAGATGTATTTCAGAAGTCACACTAATGGTTTCTCAAAACATGAAGTGCTTTTTAATTAAATTAGTCAATTTCCCATGTTTTCAGTTCAGCTACACTTATTTCCAAATCCTGCTTTACTTTTACCAGAATTCACTTGGGCACTCATCCATGATCCAGAACAGCCTGGCAGCTTCCAGCTTCATGTCCTCTTCCCATGTCACACATCTTTACTAAAGTTCACTTTTTTTTTCTTCACCATACCTCAGCCCACAAGTTGTCAGAGGAAAGTCATAATATTAAATGCAATATTCTGGTTAGTACCTGAAAGAGGATGAAGTTGTACTTGCTGTGTTCTGATTAACTTTCTCTAAGTCTGAGGCTTTGTGGGCTGTCACAGAGATGTGCTGGAAGGGCCTTTGATCTGGTATGGCATAGCTGGTCTTAACCACACTCCAGCCCATCCCTGACTTACCCATTTAAGCTTAGCATCTTTAGCTTTCAAAACTCCTAGCAGTAAATGCAGTTTGGCTAGGTTCCCAAGTGATAAAAGACAAAAAAAGCCCAACCCTCCTACATCATTTATCCTATTAATAATGGTTTGATTTTTCTCCACTAAAGGAGGAAAGGGTACAGCTTTGATCTGATATCTACAACAGATTTTGATTCAAGTCCTTGAGCTGTCTGTAACTGAGCATTTCTGGGCCATGGGTAATAATTGTTAGAAGTGCTCAGGATGGCAAATATGCAGAATAAATTAACAGTTGTTACAAACATTTCCCAAAAGTCATCTATGATACATCTGATTTTGAGTTTGAATATGATTTTTTTTTTTCATTTTTGCTACAGAGCATCACTGGGTGTCCAGCAGATGAAGGAAATTGATTTTTTTGCTCTGTTCTGAACTTGCAAGACCACATCTGGAAAAACACACAGGTCCCCAAGTAGAAGAGAGATATTGTCCAACTGGAGTTAGTCCAGGTGAGGGTCACCACGAATTAAGGGGTCTGAGCATGTAGAGGCTTAGAGGCTAAGTGACTTTTCATGGATGTATGCAGAGAAAGGACAAGACACACAGGCAGACATCCCTACAGAATGGGGAGAGAGACAGTTCTTGTTGACTCATCATTTCTATTCCCAGCATGGTGTTGATGTCAGCAAGGTCACAGCAGGCAGTGAAGCAATCAATAAGGATCACATTATCTTGGCTCCTTCCCCATAAGAACAGCAAAATGTACTTGGGTAATTTCAAATGTAAAGAAGCATCCAAATCAGAATCCTTATGCAGCAAAAACCTACAATGGCTTTGAAATAAGTTCTGAGTGTGCAAGAGCTCTGTGCAAAAATTATTTCCTAGATTTTTCTGTTGGATGGAAAAATTGTCCCAAACCAAAGCCCCAGAAAGAAAAGGCAAAAACTAAGAAAGTGAAAATGAATGTTTACATTCTTACCACAAAAGTCTTATTTATAACACTGCAACGTATTACAACAAAATCAAGACTCATTTTCACAGTAATGTATTAAAACATCTGTTCTCAGTAACTCTGTTTATTCTAATCTACCGAAAATAAAATATAACCCCCTGCCCCCCTCCCCCTCCCTACCCTGTTCTAAATCTTCTCTGGAATTGCCCAACAACTGAAGTAAATAACTCCAATTTTCATTTAGCATTAGCCATTACCAGTTGCTCTAGGCTTCTGCTTGGGCCAATGCTGTACATGATGGCATAATTATCTATTAATCAGTACTGTAACTAATCGCTGTTCCTTGTAAAATCTAGATATTTAAAGCCAACTTTATTTCATTACACTAATCTCTAAATCAGAATGAGCAGCTGTCTCTTACTTGAGTGCAAGGTATGCATCTATTTTAGAACTGCAGAAGTCAGTGGTGCTTGTTTTTTTAAACAACTGTAGGCTTAACTGCTTGATTTGCTTTTTACCAACAGCAGCCTAAAGGAGAAACTGCACTTTTCTTATCCTCTGTTTGTTTTCGAAATGAGGTCAATGCTGATAAAATGAAAACTTATTAAAAATTCAGCCCTGTAACATAAAAGAATGTGAGAAATTCTAGTACCAATGAGTACTGAAAACATTACCATCATGAAAAGCTCCTACTGCAGCTCTGAATAGACAGAAAGTTTAATTACAATATTTGAAATTTTTTAGCTTTTTCAATATTCAACACATGCCTAATAAATATACCTCATAGCCTCTTCACACTGGGACTGTGAGCAGTGCCAGTGATCCAAGGAAACAGGAAGAAAATGTTAAAACCAGAATATGGAATGACCTATTTTTCACAGATGTTCTTACACATACTCATACACTTGAATATGAAGCTTTTCATGCTTTTCATGCTGTGGAGACCTTACAGCAGCTTCAGCTAGAGGACAGGGAATTACAGCACCAAGTTACAAAGGGAATTACGGCACCCCATTACAAATGGAGGTGGTCTTTCATATCCAGGACATTGTTTTCCACCTCTAGTTCAATGATGTGAACATCCCCTCCTCCTTGTTAAAACACAGTTCTACGACTTAAGAAGGAAAAAAAAGAGTTTGTACAGTCTGAATATAAACCTAATGCTATCTCCCAGAAAAGCTGCAAAGGGTGACTTCATTGTGGGTACCAAATTAAGCTTTGCTGCATCCCAGTAATGGAACAGGAGCTAATATCCTACGGTGATTTGCCTCCCCTAGCCCTGGATATATAACAGCAAGGTGCCTTCACATGAAGCTTTTATTCAGACATATATTCTCTGCTAGAGTTTTATTTGCTCCAGATTAAATGTACTCCTGTATTCATCAAATATACTCAAGTCTATCTGATCTGCTGAGACCTCACCTCCCAGGCCATCTGAATTATCCCTGTTTGAGATGAAGTGCCCTAGTAGACACCTATTTATCTCACAAATACTCTGTGTTAATGAGTGTATTTTGAAAAATCTTAATATAAGGCAGGCTCAATGCAACCTCTGAAGAGAAGTTCCTGGTTTAAGGAGCTGAGCATTACACAGATGTGAAATGGATTAATTTCTGAGCCACTTCGTATTTTCCTTATGGATTGACTTTTGCAACATATCTTTACCAGACAGAGCAGCCAGAAGACAGCTTCAACATTACAAGCCTGCTTTTTTATCCTGACTTGTAGTTATGCTTGTCATGAATAGTAGAAAGAGTAAGGTCTATTTAATTTTCATCTCATTTTCTTTACATGGTCAATAAATAAGGCTTTGGGTGGTAGTGACTCTTGATCTGACGGAGCTTTATTATGAAAATTAGAAATCCTGTATGTGCAGATAGTATTAGAGACTTTGATTAGATATATGAATTAACAGCTAGTAGAGATGCCAGGAGAATGAAGCGCCTTGATGTGTTTAGTCTTAGGATTTTGCTGGAGTAAGTCTTAAGGACTTGTTTGACAGCAAGTGAACATGGTGAGTGCTGAAGAACTGCAGTATGATCTGTGATATCTGAAATTATCTCCAAGACGCTGTTCCTCACCAATGGAAATTTATTTTTACCGTGACACAGAAGGGCACGGGCATGTCATGCATTCACAAAGTGGGCGTTTCACTCTCAGCAGAGGGTCGCGTGATCACCGCAACGCTTCACAGAAATAAGGAGCAGATGGGGGCAGATTTGTTAAACTCAGAAGCACAACCCAATTCTATTCAATACTAAGGGTACTTATAATAATACATGATATGTTTACACAGCATTTCTAGGAAACAAATACCTAGGGGAGAAACAACATGGGAAACTGTCTGATTTTCTCAAATAAGAATATGAAGGAATAACAAAGCAGCAAGTAAAAGTACACAGGACATACACAGTTATCAAAGCATAACTTGTAACTTGTGAGTACACTCTATTCTCATTTAAAAATTCTTTACATATGGTTTGTGTCTGTTATAGATATCCTCCACCTGTTGAAATTTCACTTGATTTCACATTACCTTTAGGTTCTTCCTAGACTTGCATTCTGAGACTACTGAATGACATTACACTTTTCATCAAAAATCAAGATAATATGTATCTTTCTATCACCATTCCATACCATATCCATATCCATATCCATATCCATATCCATATCCATATCCATATCCATATCCATATCCATATCCATACCCCACCCCAAACACACACCCGCAAACACATGCACTGTTACACTTTAAAAATCAGCTTGAGGAAAACATCTGGGTAGGAAAAATTTCAACTAATTTAGTTAAAGTTCCAGTATTTTTAGCAAATTTGAGCAGATTATATTATGTCTGAGTCCTTGCTTATGCTTTTCTACACAGTGTTACCTTTCCTTTGTACAAATTCATTACAATAATACATTAGTCTTTCTACTGCATTTTTCAGTAAGATGGTGCATTTATTAGGAAGATTTTTGCAGTAAGGTGATTTTCTGACTAAAGCATTAACTCCTCCCTATTCAGAGCCTAACCCAAAATCCAGTTTGTTAGTCTTTTAATACTCACAGTCTGTGGGCGTGGCAGACACTGCCCACACTGGCTGAGTGAAGCTGGTGACCCTGAAAGAGACCATTCCAAGACAAAGAAAAATGCTGAAGAAAAATGAAGAACTGCCACTACCCTCCAGGGATGTCCTAGGAATACAAGCAGCAGGCCACTGTGCTGTGGTGGCTGTGCACAAGAGGGCAGGGCTGGGCAGGCAAAGGGAGCCTCCTCATGTCTCCTGTTAATGCTCTTCTTGCAAATTCAACCAGTTCAATACAATTATTTTTTTTATGGTGCTAGCAACTTATTTCTCTACTCTTGGTTACTTAAATTAGTGAACTAGCAAGCATGGCTTGTAAACATTTGAATAAAGCCCATGGGCTCTTTCCAGCATGGCAGAGGCATAATTAAATGAAAAATGGTATCTTGCTTTAAATTCTTTACAGCAATACTTCAGAATGTGTAGGTGGAAACAGCACTGTTCCACCGCCAGTGATACTGACAATCATCTCAGTCTGCAAAAAGTTTTCTTTAATTAGCAAACAAACTGGACTGGTTTCCTAACTAAACAGTAAAAAAAGCTTATTTTGGGCAGTTTACATCACAAAGTTTTCTGAAAGGAACAAACTTAAAATATCAATATCCATGTAAGCTGAATGTGGAAATCTTGTCTTTATAAAAACAGCAAATAAAATACAAAAATTGTTTTCACCTGAATGTAGATCTGTACCTGGTTGACTAGTCAAGCCAGGGAGAGAGTCCTGTAATTGGTAGGTTGATGATGTTGAAGTGCCATCAGCCGTGTTGTTTGAGGTCATATATGCACCATATGTTGATGCTGAGTAATACTGTGCATACTGATTTTGGCCAAAAGCTGTGTATGACGGATAATCCTGAAACAGCAGATGCAGCAGAGCACCCAATTAAATACAGTAATGAGTGACTTTTTCCCAATTAAATATTTCTAAGTGTACAATCATATGACTTTTGCTAGTGTTTTGAAGGCTTGGTTTAGTTGTTTTTGGTTTTTTTTTAAATTTAAGAATAGTTAGTGTTTTTAATTTAAAGGTATTTACTAAAAGACTACAGGGAAGCTGCTGAAATATTTAAGTGCTAAAATATGTAACTAGGCTTCCAGTAAGATTTTGGTAATTTTCCACAGAAAATAGCATTGAACCACAGTAAGTGTCACTCAACATAACAGATCTAAATTAAAATAACATGCTATCTCTGGGTTATATAAGTCCTTTTGTAACTGGCAAATAAAAATGGCAATATTCATACCTGTTGTGAACTACTGAAGTTTGTAGAATTTGAAACAGAATTGTTTGAATAAATAGTGGACGATGGTGTGAAACTAGAACCTAAAATTAAGAAATACAATTAACTGTGAGAACTTGTTTGCGAATCAAAATTCTAATTAGAATATTCCATGTTAAGATGCAGATGAATCAGAACAAAAAAGCAACTTTTATTTTCCATTAGAAGCATAAAACATTGTAGTGAAACTTTTAAAGAAATTAAAAGCTACTTCCACGCATACAAGCATACATTCCTCTTCACACCATGCAAGGAAGATATCAGCAGTAAGTCATCTCACCAATATAGAAAGCGTTTTTCAGTTTATTGCATTCTCACCTCTCCTCAAACACAGTTTTTTCTCTTTTGCCTTCATTTTTAATACGTTAGTGTTACGTTTGCGAAACAAAAACCTTTTCGAAAGACTATATCCGGGTGTTTTTAATCAATCTGTAATGAGGCATGTCCTTGTTTTCAGCATAAATCAGATGATTCATATTGCAGGTTGTAATATGCAGAAGATTAACCATTGTATAAGAAGCTTAAAAATTATCCAAATAAAATAGGTTATCGATGATCAGAGGGTAATCAAGGAATTATTAACTGACTAGTAAATGAAAGAGTATCAAATAAGGAGAAATTCTAAAACATTATGTTAATCCAAGGAGAAACAAGTATAAAATTATGTCATACTCAGGAACATAAAAACAAGAAGAGACTTGTATATATTAGTAAATATAACAAATGCTTCCAATCCTGCCATTGAAAAAATTAGTGGATTTCACTCCACTAAAAAATCCAAAAGAAGGTGCAAGTAGGGACTGCATTCCATGACCAGATCTAAAGTAACAGAGAATCAAAATGAATATGCATACTCCTATTAGCACTGGGAAGAAATACTTAGCTTTAAATTTTAGAGGTGGCTACTCACCTGGCATCTGGTAAGAGTAGGGTGTTTGGCCTGGCTGTGGGGTGGAAAACCCTGGGCTGTAACTGAGGCACCCGCTCTGCAGTGGAGATTGGGTCTGTGAGAGCCCGCTTTCCGTCTTGATGCCTGGCAACATTACACCCAAATCTGTGTAAGAAATTAATTTTTAACTGATTCTTTAAAATATTTTGTTACAGTTGGGAAAAACAAAAGAGAAAGCAAAAAATAAAAAAAACACCATTCCAGTCAACATTGCTTTTAGTTCTACATAAAGTGAAGTAAGAAGTGGTCAAATACCGTAAGTGGGTAAGCTGTAGGGCTGTCCTGTCTGGGAATAGGCTGTATAGACCGCTGGCTGCTGCATTCCTGAATACTGGGTTTGTCCGGCATAGGCAGACATTGTTTGAGCTGCTGGTGTAGAAAGAATGTGCGGATAGGGCCTAAATATCAGGAAAAATAGCATTACTGTGGCAACAAATACTTTGTATGTTGATTTAAGCAATAAAGTAAAGAAAAAGGTTTAAAGATGTCCAAAGAAAGTTCATTATTCTGCCAACTGCTCCTCTTCTGGGATTTATTCCATCCCCCACTGAAATAAGCTGAAAGACACTCTGTCCCACATTCCCCAAGGCACAGTGAATATTTTATGTTGTCCCATCACTACAATTTAATTCTTAAGCTACTGCGTCCACTTTTAGGTGGGCTGTGCCACTGCTGCATGCCTTTATATGGATTTAACCTCTTACAGCTGAGATCAGAACGCTTCAATTAGAAAAGCCCCCACACTTTTTCAATCCAGTGGAGTGAAACTTGGACCAGAAGAATAGAGGAAACACAGAGGCGAATGCTGAATCTAGTACATTATGTCATCTGTGTAGGTTCTGCTTCAACAGACATGTAGCTTCAATGGGAGATGGATCCTACCCATTGAGAGCAGCATGAAAAATACTGACAGCAATACTTCGGTAACCAGATGGGCTTTAAATGTTCGGAAAATATGGGCTAGGAAAATAGAATGGAAATAAAAATGGTCTTTTATTTATGAATACTGAGGTTTTATAGAGAGATTGAATAAAATCAAGTTTAAATTTTTTGCCCTCCAGAGTTGCAAAAATATACAGAGAAACATTTTTCTTGGATTGTTTTGTAAGTCAAATAAGACTTTATGGACCAAAAGTTGAATAAACACACTCTGCAGAATTACGCTAACTGAAACCTAGCCATTAAAAGCCATGACTAAATTTCAGATTCCAATTTTTAATTTTTTTTTTCTTTCTAATTAATTCAGTACAGTTGGCAGCATTTACTATCAGAAAAGGATTACTCATTAATTTAAGTGCCAAAAAATTGTAACAGTAGATTAAAGATTCTATTAAACCTTGTAATGTATTTGGCCGAAGGTATGTAACACAGTTTGCCAAAACCTGTTTTAAGTGGAATGATTGCTCTTGCTTCAGGCACCTACTTTCTGTATTAATAATTTTTGGCTAATATCAGATGACTGCAAATTTGTTAAAAAAAACCAACTTGAAAGAGCCTAATTGGCTCTTGAATCTTTAGATTTCTCTGTACCGAAGTCTCACCGATAGCTGTATCAAATACATGGAAACAAACATACTGGAATCAAGAACCCTTGTGCACAACACTTATCACAGGAGAAGCAAACTAATATACTGCCAACCTCAGCAGTTTCGTACAACACCTTTGGTGTTTCTTCCTAAAGTTCCCACTCCTGGATTTGTGTGATTGCCCAAGAGTCAGTTTCCCCCCCAACAAAAAAAAAAAAGCCACGAAAAAATTTTCCATTTCTAACAACATCCGTTGGCTTAAAAATAATAAGATTAAAAGCTAATCCAATTTATTTGATTTTTAAATCTTATGATATCAGAGAGGGACAAGGAAAGGGTGGTTCATGATTGTGGAATGTTTGGAAGTGTTTGGCAATGCTAGCCGTGGAAAGGTCAGGGACAGGGTTACCCCCTCAGTATGCAACTTGTGCATGCAATTGTGAGTTCTATATATAAACTGACTTCTTCAAAATATATCTGTATATATTCCCCGCACATGCTGTTAATATGCTGATGTCTGAGAATGCAATAGTCTGATTATTTTACTTGTGTGCTGATATTCAAGGGTATTTCTTGTGCAGCAATACTGCACAAAGCAGGATCTTACTCTGTAGATACACGAGGGAAAAAAAGTTGGAAAAGGAGCCAGTACTTGAGTCAGTACCATGGCTTAAGAATTTTCCTTTTCCTCCGTTTCTCCTGCTGAACACTTGTTTGCAACAAACCACAAAACTGCCCACAGCCAAGGTCTATAAAAGAGTAGAAGAGGTGCAGACACTAACTTGGAGGGATATATCTGTGGAGAGTACTGGTGCGCTGATCTGGGACTGTAGCCACTACTTGTTATTACTGCAAAACAGAAAACAAGAGCACAGCAGTTAGAAACACCAGGAGACCTACAAAGGCACACAGTGTGAAACAAAGCAGCAACATTAACAGAGAAGCCCATTGAAATGGACAGCTTTTCAAGGAGGCAGATGTCACCAGAACTGCAACATGTTAAAAAAAATTTTAAAAACTCCCAAACTTTTTTACTGTTGTACAGAACTCTCTAGTTAGCATGGGTGTGTCACGTTTCCTCAACTTGACTGTATACTGCAGAGGCATGTATTTCATACATTACCTGAAATCCACACATTGTGGATCTTTCAAATTTGCAAGTTGTATTAAAAAGGGTAGTTAAAAAAGAATCTTGTGATTTAACATATTTCATGGGATTGAAATAACATACACATACCTTCATAGTCTCACATTAACAAGAAGTTAGATTTTAACACTGGATAGGAAAAGCATGTTTTATATGGTTGTGACTAATTTTAGTTAGGTTAGGTGATGGAAGATACTGGATTGAGCACTAGAAAGCAACTAACTTCCATTATAAACAGGCCAAATAGAATATAATCCCCAACAACAGCATTTTTATTTTAAAGTATGCATAAACAGTCCTGTTCAGTAGCCATCCAAATTGTGTGTATCTATATACTATTCACAGCTGCATTCTTCCAAGTAAGCTAACAGAACAATAGTCATAACCCATTAAAATTTCATCCAGAAGCAGTGCTCACACTGGATTAATTCCAAGTGTTTGGAAGTTTCCCTTTCCTTTAGCCATCTGTCTTGACTAAGACAGATGTATTCCAAATATATGTACTCTAAAGTGTTGAACCAATCCCTTCAGAGCAAATCCATACTGGGCAAACATACAGAGTGTCTTTATTAGGCCATCTGCTGTTCATTCACTTCTCAAAAGATTAAAGAAGTACACAATGAAGCACTGGAATTTCTTTAGTCTAATCAATCATAGTTGTACTTCAAAGTGTACCCTCTTCCTGAGTTATTCATAATGGTAGTAGAAATGAACATTCAGAATTTTATAAGTGACAAATAGGTTTAGGTTTCTAACTATTTTATGAAACATGATACATTTCTACATCCAGCCCCAATTAACGTCTCTCAGATCTATTGCTTTGAACATACACAGAACTTCATATTTTTAAAGATAGTTTAAATGCATTTAGAATGTGTAGGACTTAAAAGGAAAATACAGTAGAAGAAAAACAATTACCTTCTTTTTAAAATGTGCAGTTAAGTATGGTTTGAAAGTAAAGAAGAATTGGATAATAACTTTTAAAACATGTGCCATTAGATTTTATAAAACAGCTGCCGTTTGAAAAGATACTGAGGGTTTGCCTGTGATGGAAATCTGCTAAATTTAATTTTGTGTGGATATAATTTTTGAGGGTTTTTTTGAGAATGCCTTTCCGTGGTTTGCTCCACAGAGCAATCCGCTACGTGTGCAGGCAGCTATTCCCAGACAAACCTATAGCTGTTTCTATCAACATAACTGGTTCACACAACTCTAAATAATGCTCTTGGTTATTTAAGGCTTGATGAGTAATTAGCCTTCCCTGTTGTAGCTCTGTGACCTTTCTAAAGACAAGCAATAGCAGCAGAGTGACCTTGGTGGTTTTCAGGGCAAGGAACTTTTGTGATCCATTATTGGCTTATCAGACCATTTTTGCTATACTGCTTTACTTTTTGTATGCTCATTTGCTGAATGAGAGCTCAGTCAATTAATCAGTTTGGTTAAAGCACATTTACCATGCCACTCTACCTTACATAAACTAGAAAAAAATTAATGACTATTCATTTCAATCACTTGAGCTATCAAAACCCGATACTTTTCAGCAAAAACTATTCTGCCTGCCTTTTAATTCTTTCTGCATATGCCTAATTTTTTAAAATTCAGACAAGAAAATAAAATACTTTTGGAATGTGTCTGGTTTTAAATTTCCTTGGTTTCATCCCAAATTTTCCCTGATAATACTACCAGGTATAACGAAGAGAAAAAGAGGCAAGAGTAAAAAGTCCATTCTTTTCACTGTTTCTCCGTAGCTTTTTCCAGCAATTTGTCCACTACATTTGAGACTGTGAGATGTTTGAGAAACACAGATGTAAGGCCTAGCATAAGAGAATATGCATAAGAGAACTAGCATAAGTTATGACTGAGTGGAGCCTGTGGACCACACCTGTATCTCACAGATGAAACTACTAATTTTAAGGGTCATCAAACTTTTAACAGCTTTGGCTGCTGGACAGCCAAACATCTCCTAACATCTCCCTTCTCTCAGGACTGCTGGCAGTGGAGGAGATGGTGGAGGCAGGCTGCTGTGGGCTTTGTGGCACTTTATACAGGCATTATATAAATGGGGCTAAATGCTCTTTTGTGTTGCTAAAAAAATGTTAAGAAAACCCCAAAACTGTTTATTCTCTGAAAAACTCAAATATTCCTAAGACTTCACTACTTGAAATTACTGAAGGAATGTCCTTCAGGGCAGGTATAAGACCCTTGATCTCTCCAGTCCCAATTAATGTTATTTCACAGAGGGGGCAAGCTGACAGCCAGCTCTTACCAGTTACTCTCTTAGTTCAACTGGCCAAGGTGGTTGTGGAGGGTTTAAATGGCCATTAACTGTTTTAATTGCATGTTCAGTATATTAAAGTGGGCTGGAGTTCTGCATTTTTTCATTACGCATCTGTAAAATTCTGTGCAAAAAGGTTAGGTTAAAAGGACCTCATTTAAGTACCATCATAATCTCTATGCATTAGGGAGGTTATGTAGGTTAAACAGCAGTGACATTCCCTAGCTTCACCTTTATAGCCTTCAGAAATTGTTTTCTATATCTAAAAACTGTATTCTATAACCTGTGTGTAATAAATAATAAAAACAATTAGAACATCACATAACTCCCTCTCCACTCCACTAAAATGATAAAACTGTTCTCAGATTAATCCACTATTGTAAGCAATATATACACACTATTACAGTACAGCAGCTGCAACAAATTCACAGTGCATGAAAATCTCAGCTGAGTTGAGAAAATCTGAGTTGATGAAAATCTCTCCCAGGCCTCTGAATGCCCAGCCCAGTGGGAGTGTGCTGCAAAATCACAGAGCTGCAAACTGAGGACACTAATTACCAACTGTTCCTCTTTGCAGGAGGAGGAAGGGGGATGCACAGTGTGACTCCTCACCTGCCCAGAGGCACAGATTCTCCTGGGGCAGCTCTGCAGCACAGGGGAACCGGGGCCCTGAGCATGAGCTGCAACACATGGGCTGCAGCCCTGAACAGGATCCTGCCAATCCCAGTAGCCAGGGCAAGGCCACCAGGGCAACTGCCCCTCTAAATTCAAGAGAGCTATGTGCTTTATCCTCTTAGCTTTTCAACCAACAGTTCACAGAATCACAGTTTTCTGTGAAGTCTAATCTGTCTCTCCTGCCCTATTCCCCGCACAATCTGTTTGACCATCACTTACAGCTGGTCATTAGGGCCAGAGGTGACTACTTTACACCCCACAGGGCTTGTTGAGCCTTCTGCTCAGTTCCAGGGTAGGTCACGTGTTTTGATTGCCCTTGGAGCAGGGAAATCAATTTTAATGGGCAGAGTGTTTGAAGGAGAGGATTTCTGCATGGCAGGCTCTTAAATGCATCTCAGCACCAGCTCTCTTTTCACCCATATCTCATTTCATAAAACACAGAAAAGTGCTGGCATCATGACTGGGAGAAACACATATATGTCTCTCATTTTCAGGAAAACACAAACTGTTTTCAGAAAAAAACAAACTGTTGTGTTGGGCCTTGTTACGCATTTTTTCAGTCACAGGTGGCTTATCTGAAACGACATCTGTCTACTACTCAGCATTTACTGTCTTTGGCAACCCACTAAACTTCCCAACTAGCCAGTTAGGCTAAAAACTCAGAGAAATCCTGGTTTTGCTGAGTTTTTGCTGCTCTTTAGTGCTTTTCCCATAAAATTAGAGCAAAAAAAATTTGTCTGATTTGGGAGTACGAGTAAAAGACAAACGCTAAAGTAACATCTTCAATCTTTATGAAAGGCTGAGTGTGTTGTCAGGGCAGCTCTGTGTCCCACTCTGATGATGAAGACTGCACGTCACCCAGACAGGCAGACTATTGATTTCCCACTGAGAATGACTGTACTCATTTAATGCTTCAGTTTGTGCACTAAATTGAGATCCAGGTTTGTATTTCCATTGAATACACAGGTGGCTAACAGGCGAAAAAGGATTATGCAAGGCTCAAATTCCTGCCTTTTTTTTTTCTTTTTTTTTTTTTTTTGAGGCACCAACTTTCCAAACATCTAAAGTGTAGAGATTTCAAGACTTCTTTTGAAGTCAGTGGAAGCTGACGGGTGAGTGGCACCTGGGGAAATCAAGCTGTTACTTGGTTATCTAAACCTGAGCTGAAGGCTACAATTCTTGGCACTCCAATGTTGCCTTAGAATACAACTCAGCTGCCTTAAATACAGGGCAGAAGCTGATAAAATTACAGCAACAATGAAAAAAATAATATAAAAGGTTGGATATTTTATGATTTATAATCATTAGTAATGAATTTTTAGCATTGAGTAAAAACAGAGTGAAAGACTAAATTTTAGGCCAGACTATTTAATTTTTTATGGAACTTTTTAGCCTTTAATCTGAGGATCCTCTCAGTATAATTATAATGAGGAAAATGCTTTTGTTTTTCTGATTAGAAACAGCAAACACTCTAAAGCTCACAAATTACCTTTTCTTCAGGAATGAAATTAGTTATGAATACTTTTCTGAATAATCAACTTCTAGATTTAACTGATGGCTAAAAGACAATTCCAAAACCCAATTTAAAAAAAAAATAATTACACAGGAACATTGTGATTTCCAAAATATTTTAAATAGGGCTTGACAACCTAACTCTACCAAATTAATAGTAGCATCTATTAATTTGAACTGGTGACTTGTGACTTTGGTGACATTTCAGTCAGACCATTACTGAACTGGTATTTCCAGCTGCAAACCTTATTCTTCCTCCACTCCTTTTTAATATTATTATTAGCAGGATTCAACTTAATGATTTGAAGGCTGATTATCTGTACTTTTCCACAGTTCATCACATTTTAATAATTTATAGGATCTACTTAAACCACTGTTTGTTTGAATTTTTGAGAAGTAATTGAAGCTCGTGATTATTTAAAATAAAACTATTTTATTGGAAAGGAAGTAGCTCATCCCAGTGGAAAGAGACCAACACAGCAATCTGGTCAGTGTTTAAACTAACACAATGCTAACAGGAGTAAAAGGATTAGCACTGAGCTATAAACCTTAATATTTGAAACTGTCCAAATTAGCTTGGCTGTTACAATCTCATTTTTTTATTTCTAGTATTATACAAGACTAACACTCAGAAAAAACATCTACAGTACCATCATAACAGTATCATTTTTAAGACTTTTGCAGACAGCAGTGGTCTTAGGCATCATTATCAGGCATTCTTTAAGATCACACATCACGTAAATTTCTGAGTTGCATTTACAAAAATGAAAAAGCTATTATTTCTATTACAATTATTATTATTATTAGGTACAAAATACTATAATATTTTATAGTAACTTTGAAAAGATTGCTTCCATGCAAATGTTCATTAGTGAGGGTTATAAATGCCGCATTAATGTGCATCTAACAAAATGTCATTTTATTATGGCTTTACCTGACCCAGTAAAAGTGTCAAGCGATGCATCTCCAGTTGTTGTTGCTGTTTCACTGTTGTTCATGGGTTCTGTTTTGACTGCAAGAAGAGACACTACATAGAAGAATAAGTAGACATGAGATTTTACTTTTAGATTTGTACTGGAGCACTCATGCCAGTCTCACTAGTGGTAGTCCAGCTCAAACAAGCACACGTGCAACCTCTTCAACCTTCTCTCTAGCACCATACTGAGACAATCGACAGGAATCTGACAGGAATGCCCATTTATCTGCACAGCTCTGCATCTGTACATTCATCCAGCTATTGGTTTTAGCAACTGGAATATCTTCTGGGGAGATTTCAACCTAAATCTTATTGATTCTAACAATTTCTTTGGAGTAGCACAGAGGAAGGAAATATTAGCTGTCAAGGGATGTAGCACGTAACAAAAATAGTTTTGCCTGACATGTAAAATTATTATAATATGGTTTCATGCTAATACAGAAGCAAATTACTTTCACAGTGCCAGCATGTTGCCTTTCCCTTTCCCCTTTTACAGGGTCTGTGGGGGCCTTTTTGAGCTGGGTCACCAGCAAGCAGTTTTCCATAACTGAAGAGAGAAGCTGGAAAGAAAAAAAAGCCAAAGAGCTGGAGTAAGACACAAATGACAAGTCAGCTTCTTACTCAGAGGTTACAAAACAGTTTGGTCTACTCCGAACGCAAATTTATTTCTTAGGGCTCATCATGCACTCTCTTATCATCCAAGCTGTAATTGAAAGCACAAAAAGCACCACAGAGGCAATACAGATTTTGTAATTTAATATGTTACCTGAACAGAACATTCGGCATGGACTTTTGTAGTGAAATTTGGGAACCACCCATCCAATTGATGTGGTATGAAACAGCAGTAGAGAATAAACCGCAGCTCCTGTTAGCTGTCTGACTGGCAAATGCAGAAGCCTCAGCATATTAATGCAATTTCCTCATGAAGGTCAGTTAGGGTTGGCCATGGACATTCATCACATGCTTACAGATATCACAGGTTGGTGCCTAGCAGCACAGATTGAAGGGGCAATGAAGACCTGCACAAGCAACTACCACAGCTGAATGTCAGGTATCCAGATTGTGAGGGCACAGCCTGGGATTTGTGAAGAAGCCTTTGCTGTGACAGCCAGCCTGACAGAGCCCCCCAGCAGGTCTAACACACGCCAAGGAAAGGCATTCTCTGCCAGCTGGTTACCTGACGCCTCTGAGAGGCCTCAGCTAAGCTGACCAAAGTTCCCATCTGTCAACATCACTGCATCCACATTTGACTGCACTGGCAATAGTATGGGAAAGGGAGGAATTTTGTATTTCTGAGCTGGCAATGTATTTAAAAACTGTGGCTCAGATTCAAGTCACCTAAATCAAGAGTATAAAAGGTGCCTACTAGTCTCCCTTTATGTCTAGATGAGATAGAGAGGCACTCCCAGAGGCTGATTCAGTCCAAGTACAGCCTGAGCTGCCCCCTAGCTCACTGTCCCTCATACAGTCTGCAGAGGAAAAGGCAGTGCATGAGCTAAATAAAGGATTTAGTTTCCTCATTGGAAAAATGTCCAGAACAACTCCTACAGAGCCATTCTGCTATTCTTCCCTGTGGCTGTGAGCACCGCGATTTGTTGATCAGAAATTGCACCAGTAAAGCTGCCTGTGACAAGCCCTGTGTGAGTTACCTCTCCTACAAAACCACATCCCATTTCCACTCACATACTGCCCAATGCATCTTATTTCAGGAAGTCACATGGGATGCTGCTGATGTCAACAACTGTACAAGTGACCTGCACTGAATTCAGAGGAACACCAGTTTGGATCAAGCAGCAGAAATGGGGATGCATTTATCTCTGTGACTGGTAGAGTGCCCTCCAGCATTACTGGTGCACCAGTGCCAAACAAACCAAGTAATACCTTCTGGTTTCAGTTACACAGCTGTACCTTTCCATTTACTATCTGAGAGCAAAAAAAATTTTGAATGTGTGTCTTTTGAATGTAAACCTCTTTTCATTATTGCTTCTGTTTCATTAAACTACCATGTAGTCTCCCTGCAAGCAGCAGGATATTATTTCAATATGGAATCGTTAGGGAAGAATTTTAGCCACATTTTTTCAAGTTTTTCATTCCTTTTCATTAAAAACAAAAAACAAAAAACTGGGACAAAAACAACCCAAAATGAAAAAAAGTAATTTTCAAGAGTATTCGAGTAATCGGTCATTCCCATTTCTATAATTGAGAAGGATGCAATTTTATTTTCATCATATCAATAAAACATATCAAGAAAAAGTTCATGGGTCGTTTGTCACAAAATGATGGCCTCCAATAAACCTCTCAGTCATGTGGAACATGTGTTGTTGCACAAAGTACCAAAAATATCTACATTAATTTATTTGCTGATTACTGCATATGGATGCCTCTGTGTACTTCTGTAAAGTCTGGGCATCTACCCACATGAAAAAAAGTACTTTTTAGTACCTTTATCTCTTTCTGTTCAAGAAGGTATTTCACTATTCTCCATAGTGAGCTACAAATGTTCAGTTTTGCATCCAAGAAGACAGTATGTGTTTAACTGTGTTTAACAAAAACTTCAGTCATGAACTGAAATGTTTACTTTGGAATTGTGTCTAGATCCGGTTAATGCCAGCTGCACTGCACTGCCATCAGCACGAATAGACACCATCTCTTTTCTTTCCCTGTCAAGCAAATAATCTAAAACAAAAGAAACTCTCCTGTACTTGAGGAAAAACATTTTATTGGCACTGAGTTTTGTTGGAAAATACCTATAGAAAGTGTTTTTGTATGTGCTTCATTTTAAACAATTCTACATTTCTGCATTCAGATTTTATGACAGTACGGAATTCCTCAAGGTCCTTCTTCAGTGTAGCTAGAGATTTTCACTATTAGCTATTTTTCTTTATGTTGTCTGTCATTAAATGAAGAGGGGAAAAAAAGCACAAAACTAACTTAGGAAAAACAAAATATTCTAACCTCAGTTCAAGAGAGCTATTTTCTGTTGCTGTTTAACATATTGAAAGAGTGAAAATAAAATGAAAAACAATCTCTAACTGGAAATACATTGGAGTGCCACCAACAGTGAAGATTTCCCCTATTCTGCTTTCAGCTGGGATAGAGCAAGCAGCTGTGTGCTGTTTAGTTGACAGCTGGCCTTAGACCATGACAACACGGTGAGAGAGTAGAGCTACCAATACCATCAGGTGCTGGGGCACACGATGTACAAGGAGACACAAGGAGCTGGGCTTGTTCTGTCCTAGGAAGAGGAGGCTGAGGGGAGAGCTAACTGCTGCCCACAGCTATCTGATGGGAAGGTGCAAAGATGACAAAGAACAAAGGCACACACCTCAAAAGGTGCCCTGGGAAACAACAGGTAGGAACAGACACAAGCTGCACTAAGGGAAAAAAGCCAATTAGATGTAGGAGGAAAATTCAGTGCAACGCCTTGAGTGACATGATCTAACAGCAAAGTTGGCTCTGCTCTGAGCGCTGCTTGGCCCAAATGACCGCCAGGGATCTTGTCCAACTTCTTTATTTTAAGGCTAGCTTACAGCTCCCAACAAGCAACAGCCTCTACAATATACCTTGATAAAAGGACTTAGCAGATCAAAATGACTGCTGCTCTTCTGACCCCTTTTTTATTTTCTCTAAAGTATTCCTCTTTGTTAAGGACTGAAAATGAATGCAGAGTTTTAGGGGCAAGAGGTGCTAATACTATGCATGAAGGAAGACAAGCAAGTGCAACAGAAGTTACAGCAAACAAATTTGATTTTAAAAGCTTGTGTAAATCAAAAAACCCCACAGCTTGTCATAGGAATGATTTTCCTCTTTCTTTTAGCAAGCCTTTAGAGTTTTCCTGGGAATATACTCAACCAGAAGCACAGTTCTAAACATTCTACTGCCTACAGAAAATCATATTTAATACAAGTAAAACACTGTATTTCCTCATTACTAATAATTAGTTCTTAAATTGTTACCTTCCACATTTACCTGAACGTGCTGAAATGAGGTGCAGACCAAGTTACCTCAGTCTCTCTTAAACTTAAAATCTTGTAATTGAGGAGAAGCATTCACATGGAATGTCCTATTCTAGTGCAAATGATCTTTTGTGCTCATCAACTTTTTTTTTTTCCTTTCTCTCTTTCTTTTTCTTTTTTTTTTTTGGTAATTTTCTTTGCATGTATGTTTTACAAATGGCAAGCTAATTCTGAAGGATTTCTTAAAAGGGCAAGTTTTTGAAATCTTCTTAACTTTAGTCCAAGCCTGCACAATTTAAGCATCTTTGTAAAGACATGTAGAGAAACATGGTGATGCATGTTTGCACCTATGATTAATCCTATATGTACTGCAATAATGTCACATATAGAGTTATTATTAATCCTTAAAACGTATGACAATTAATAATACGTGTCAGGAAACTCATAAATGAAAACAGCAGCTTGGAAATTTGGCCAAAATTTCATAAAGTGGCAAGTTACATGTGGCAGCACATTAGACATAAGGTTTGACTAATAATGAAAGCCTCAGTAGGAGTAAGAACAATACTGTCAGCCTTGACTTGTGCTCAGGTAATCATGCAGTGCTCTACTTAAAAACGAAAGAAAAGCAAATGGGCATTCTGTCAAAATTCCATCGGTCTGATTTCCACCAATGCTGACTCCTGGCAATTCCCAGCAATGCTGAACACCACGAGACAATCCCAGTCACTCAGAGCATGTAGACAGCTAAGCTAATTATAAGCGGGTTAAATTCTCCTTGCTCATCAAATGACTTTCAAAGCATCGTAAGATAACTACTTGTTGCAACTTCCTAACAGTTTTCTGCTTGTGGGAAAAGCCTTTGAGAAAGGGTAGGAAAAAACTGCTTGGGGTGAGGGGGAACCCCCTGAGAACTTAAACTGCATGAGAAAAGATGGGAGCAAACGCAAAGAGATGGCACACAGCAGTCATGGGGACACACCACACACGCATGCACTGTACCAAGGTCTCTCATACTTGTTGCAGAGGAGGGAGTACTGCAACTCAGCAACCAGTCTGCAGTGTTTAACACAGTCATGTTGTCTCCTGAGAACAGGAATGGTAACAACAGTTCATTCTCCCAATGTCTGTTCAGTGTAAATTAATAGTCTTCAAGGCAAATCAGTGTTTTGGCACTCTAAGTCAAGCCTTTTAATATAATTGTATTGGATTTATGGGTATTATTTTAACTGGTTTATTTATGCACATTGTATAATACAGTGGCATCCAGTTACTAGTGTTCTTTAAAAGCGTGCTTTAAGTTTTCTCTTTCGTCTGGAATAAGGATTCTGTTTAAAAATATGGTTCAGCCCTTCTTTGCAGAGCTCAGTTACCCTCCCAGGCACATCCACTTTTTATTGACATTGACAGACTTTTATTTAAATAGAGTAAGTGAATAAAATACCTTGTGGCCAGAAAGAGCAAACCAAAAAAAATTTCTTAGTACCAACTGTTAAAATATACAGTGATGTATGAACTCTAAAAAAGAAACTCTAGTTTGACTCATATCCATGGTGTCACTTTCATGGACTGCACCTCAGAATGTGGCACTCTGCCTCCCACTATGGCAGAATTGGTTATCTGAAAGCATTGGAATAAAAAATGAAATCTGTGTTGTGGTTGCATGTCCCTACAATATCACCTTCAGCAGTGATAACCAGCTACTGCTGAGGAAAATCTAACAATCTCTTCATTAGAAACTTTCATTACCTCCCAAGAATTGAAATTCCTCAGAAAAATAAATAAATAAATAAATTACCCAAGTCTAATTTTGATGCACTTCTCGATAGTGATTTTAATTTAACATAAATGCATGTAAGTCAGGGTATAAGAGGAAATTATAACTCAGCAAGGAAGTATGACACAGGAAAATACAGTTTATTTTTTAAGTTACCAACTTAAGGTATAAGCAAACATTTAACACCATATTCAAATCAACCATTCAAAAATTTTCCTTATTTCACTATAGTACCTTGTTTCAGTTCTGCCTCTTATTTCAGTTGGTGCAAATAAAAGAAATGATGTTGGAATTAGAAATGTACATTTGTATGACTGCCAATTTTTGATAACTCTTGTTGGATTTATAAATATAGTCATTCTTGAAATTATGGTAAAAATTCATAAGACTAAAAACTAGCCAAAACTTTCTGTGTGCCAGCTGTGTCTTATACTTACCTCCTGTTCCATTTGTTGTGACTGATGCGCTACTGAGATTAGATTTATCCAGCTTGGAACTACCTGGTGCATCACTGCTTCCAACAAGATTATGAGGACTGGCTAGATCCTGCATTTCCATAGACCTGTTAAAAACCAAGGTGACAGAATTAATGCACTTTGATACTATCTAAAATAATCTGCTTTTTCTATAATAATTTATTTTTATTTTTTTTTATTTTTTTTGATATGGAGAGTTTGCAATTCATCCAGGTTAACAAATCAGCACAGGTTCCTTTGACATCTTTGCATTTTGCCAAACCTAGGAAAACAGGTAACAGCAACAATGCCACTATTTTCCCCTTTTCCTTTAGGTATTATGAAGTGACACAGGCTTATGAAACTGCCACTGAAACACACCACAGAGTTTGTGCATAAGGTAGTGCACATATATGGATGGACAGATAAATGAACAAATTCAGGTAGACAGATATTTCAGAGGAAAATAGAGAAATTAGGTGGAAAGTCAAGCGTTACACAGAAAGCTGAAACAGGAACTTCTGCCTCTCATTATGAACCACCAGCAGTTACTGCACCCACACTAAATTACAGGAACAGACCATACAAGTGAATGAACAGAACTTTCTTGTACATCTGGAAAACTCTTCACTCCTGCAAATGTGTATATTCTTCTTGGATCACTTGATATTTGTTTTCTTCTCTGTAATTTCTGGGAAGCTTGCAAAATTTCAAGTGGATTCAGACTGCAATGAATTCCAGCATCGCAATTACACTGAGGGCCTGTAGATGGCTTTCATGCAGTGACAACAGATCTGCCTTTCTCAGACAAAGACAGAGCAGAAAAGGAACATTTCTTGTTAGACCTGTAATTGCAATCCAATTTGCAGTGTGTGCTCTCGCCTATTCCTTGCTTCATTTATATATTAATTACACAGATTTTTCTTCCCCCAGAGAAACAATTTTGCAAAGCAAAGTTGCCAGCCCATCTGTAATAAGAGAATGATTTACCATATGTATACTCCAAAGACCAACAGAAAGATTGTCTTACAGAGGATGTAAAAGCCCAATTAGATTGTAGAAGGCTGAGATGGAGAGGAAAGAGATGAACAGTTGGAATGGTTCAGTAAAAACAGCTCCCAGGTATTCATATTCTGACCAGGACAATCAATGGCAAATCATTAAGGGCAACACCCAACATCTTAAGAATTTGTTTCAAGTTTCACTTTGAAACTGCCTGTCTTCTGTGCTCCACACATCCTCTTCTCTGCAAAAACAAACAAATAAAACCCCACTACCTTTCCATCAAATAAGGGTCTGCTGGCTGAATCTGGTTTTTTTACCCCTCGAAAAAATGAAATTATCTGGCTTCCCTGCTCCTAGTTCTGCTGATCTCCTGGATGATTTACTCCCTCACATTACCTGCATTTAACCCAAGACAGCGATTCAGAGCTTTCATGTCTTGAATATATTTGAGAAAACGTAGTAAATACTCTGTCTCAACTGGCAAAATAAATGAAAGCCTTACCTGAAGCCATATGAAGCCAAGAATCCCACTTACTCAAGTAAATGTCTGAGTCAACAACGAGATGCACTGGCTACGCCACTGGCAGGATAGCCTGCCCAGCAGCACTCTGGATGAACAGGAAAAAACTGCAGGCTAAGCATCAGCAGGTGAGAATTCTACAGCCATATTCAAGGAAATACAAAGGCATAAACTGAGATTTGAACTGCAATGAACCCAATTTCTTCATCTAATTGTGTATGCATTTCTACACGTCTGTCAGCAGTGCATTATATTTATTGTCTACTGGAAATGTGATCAGTGTTAGATGAAATAAAATGAACTCAGGTTGTTTACAAGTCTGCCAGGTTTTGTTTAGTACTTTCTGTACAAGTATAGCAGCTAAAGGTTAAAAAAAGTCTAAGAGTTTCCATCTTGTATGTATTTAAGGGAGCAGAAGAATGCTACACAAAATAAACACTGCGTAGTTCATTGCATATACAGTGTAATGCTCCCCACGTGTTCACTTGGCAGTTTTAAATATCAGGACTTCCTGTTGAAGTATGATCAGCACACAGATACCTAATGGGCAGTTCCAGCTTAGAAAGTTCACACGTGTTTTTTTCCTCTTGGTTTGCGTGAAAGTTACAATAATTTTTTTTCAGGCAGCCACATATCACTGCCACAGGTGCAAATATTTCAGCGGCATTTTAGAAGCAAAATCACTCATTCACCTACCCGGTCTTTTTAAGAAGTATCCATTTTAACCACTTTCCACAGTCAAATGAATCACATTTTCTTAATCAAATAATTTTTTTTTTAATCAGAAAACTAAGTCCACTAACTCTTATTTTCTTGGCAAAGAAACAACCAAATTTTGGTAAAATTAATACTTTTTGTTCCAAACTAGCATGAAAACTTCTGTGCAGAGAAGTATTTTTATTGCCCTAATTTATTTTCTGTAACAAATGGCATCCCATCCACAGACATGGCAAGTTAATTAGCTAAAACTATTTTTAAAGTAGTGCCTTCAAAAATAGACTTTTTTTCTGCATGAGTAAAAGACATCTTGTACTTGTTGGTAGTCTATGAAGAATAAAAAACGATATCCAAACCAATAAAAAGTTTCACAAAACCATGTGTATACATTGTATTATCCTGGGTGCTCCATCCTGTGTGAACAAGCAAAGGGATTACTTTAATATATCCCTATGTGATTTATTTACAAAAATGCACATGTTACCTTCTGTGTAGTGCATGTAATTCAATTCACTTTTCTGGATGCATTGAGTTTACCTTTAGCTAAAAAATTCTCAGGAAGATGTAACAGACTTACTAAAATCTTATCTTCAACTGAATGGAGGATTCAGGAAAAATGTTTAGTAAAATGGACAAAATAATTCCAACATCTTGAATTCATTTTGTCAAACTAAATGTTTATCAGAGTCCTGCTTTCACTGACTTAATCAGAAGCAGGTTCAGGTTCAGTATGTGCTTTCCTGCACTAAAAAAAGTTTCAAAGAAATCTCTGAAGGAGTAATTAATACTTCTAAGTTTATGCAGCTATTTATTAAGACCCCTTTCTACTAAATGCAGTATGTTCCAATTCCAGATGGAATAAAGTTTATTGTTAAAGGTGCTTAAAAAAACTACACTGTACAATTTTATTTTACGTATTTCATTTCTCTGCCAGATACATAAATACATACATAAAGCAGTCTCCAACTGCTTTTTAGAATAATTAAGTAAAATTCTACATTGTATAAAAAGATACATTTTGTCAGAAAATGGATTGTTTGCTAAGAAGATGTTTTATTTATCTCTTGACTGTTTGAAGAAGGTTTGGATTATTTTCAGCTTCCGAGCAAAAAACAGAAACCTGGCAAGACATATTTGTCTTTTATTCTGCTTTGGCTGTGCTTAAATTCTTTGAAAGTTGGTATTTGCACATGCTTAGTGGATCATTTCAGAGGCTTACTGGAAAAGTCTCTAAAACATCCCATTTCACAGAACAGTCTCCCAGATCTCAGTGCTCCAAGCACTCCAAGCTGTGGACAACCTTACCCAACTGAAGAAGGTTTGAATCAAAAATATGTCTGTGGGGGATTCTGGGCCCTCCCCATTAGAGCATATTCTGTTCCCCAGCTTGAAGTTACATCTTTTCAAGGGTTAGCCTATGCTCAGAAGTGGATGAAGGAACAGCATCCAAAGAGACAAATTCCTCCCTCTCCTGTCCCATCTTTACAAGTGTGGATGAGCAGAACTTGTGCCCCACCCCAGACCACCAGAGTGCAGAGCCCAGCACCATAACCCAACCTGGCAGAGGAAGGTGCAAGTAGGACTAATTATGATTGCCCCATTTGACAACTGCATCTCTCTATTTCTGTACAGCTTTCATTTCTGTTGTTTTAAAGGTAAAAAGCTCAAGCCTTGCTTCTACATCATTTTAAAGTTCTTCTTCCCCCTGCCCCTTCATTACAATCACGTATTTACTTTTTCACTGCTTTTCTTCAGCAGACATAACATTTATTTTCAGAAAACCTGGGTTGCTATAACTGTGTTATCCATCTGCATTTCCAGTTTAACTATTATTAAGGTGGACTAAGAGCTGGGTCCTTCCACAGCTTGTAACTCCACTGATTATTTATGAGTTCTACAAGTAGAACATATTTACATAACTTTCTTGAAAGAGATTATTTTAAAACATAAGAGATAGTTTTAAAACGTAAACTTTTTGCTTCATAATCCAGTTAAAACTTTTTTACCAACAAGATCGAAAGTATGAAATAATTTAACAAAGATTTATAAAAGAATAAATATTCTAACATGAATACAATGTATTTCAAATCCCAGCCTAACCAGAACATTTTACAAATACCAATTCCTTTGTGCAGAATTTGAAGTAAATCCAAATTACAGAAGAACTGAAAGAAGAACTATATAGAGGCTACTGAAAATTGAAAAAATTAATTTAGCTTGTAAATAATCATAACAAAAATTTTTAAAGTATTTACAATTCTTTGATAGGAAATTCATCACATACATTTCTTTAGCAGAATCTCACTAAACTTCACTGAGGCAAAAATGCACATAATAAGAATAATAATGATAATGATGTTATTATTATTATTATTGTTATTGTTACTACTACTATTATTATTGTTATTTTAGTTTCTCCCCTGCTTTTCTAGTATCCCTCCTGTTGTAATACCAATTATTGAAAACATTCTGTAGTTTCTCACAGAATCCTGGAATCTTGTCCATTTAAGTTACCAGCTACCCTGGAGGTTCTGAAACTAAGCAAACAGGGACTTTCACTTTATTTCTTTAAATTAACTTAAACTAACTTTATAACTTAAATTAACTTTAAGTGCAATAGGAAAGTTGGATAACAGGACTGCTCAAACTTGGCTAAATCTGTTTCCTACTGGTATCAGCTCAGCTCTCAGACCAGCTACACTGTTGTTTTAAAGACAAGTGGATTCATTTTTTTTCCATTTCCCACATAAATTTTTTTAGGCAGATCTTTCAGCAATGTTCTGAACAGGACAAGTGAGCTCACCTGTCTTTCACATGCAGTCTGAACTAGCTCATACAAGCCTTTATTCTGACAAAAACAATCAG